AAAATTCATACAAAAATCTTTAAATAACTTATGTTTACAACTTATATGTTGTTTTTTATATTACAGTAAATTTGAAAATGGAATCAATCAAACTGATGATGATTCTTGCAGTTTAGATTCCAAACTAGAATCAAAAAAAAAAGCAACAAAAGAATCACCTAAAATAAAGAAAAGTACAATTATAAAAAATACGAGTGCAATAGAAGTACAAGCACTCGAAGAAGTTACTGAGCAGACATTAAGGGTAAATTAAAAAAATGTTTACAACAATTATTTAAATTATAATTGATTAATTATGTTTGTAGGATATAAATAAATGGTTAGATGATACACCAAGCTTTTCATCAGCAAGTAATTCACCGATGGCCACTTTAGCTGGTTCAGTGTTGGATGACGCTGAGGTCACATCTCGTTTAGATGCAGAGTACCGTCAAGCTCATAAGCTTGATAAACCACGTTTGCCTTTCAAAGTATGTTATTTATTAAAATAAATTATTTTATTATGTAAATATTAATAAATTAATGTGTTTTTACTTTAGGAAAAAAAAAGACCAACAAAAGAATCTATTGTATTGCCTTTAAAAAGAAAGCGTGAAGTACAAAGAACAATTGATCGTTTACAGCCCGGTAAAAGTAAAGGTAACTTAATATCAAACAAATCTGATGATAGCCAAACTACTGCCAAACAAAAATTGATTAAAGCTGATTTAGATACAGCACCAACTCTTAGTTTAGGCACAGTATTGAACACTGACCTCATGGGATTTTCTTCAAAGAGACCTAGTGAAGATAAGGATCTAGAAAAGACTGAGACAGAACCTGAAAAATGTCCTGTTGATAATTTGAATGTCATAAAAAAAGAAGAGGTCAAAACAGAATTATCAGAAGAAAAGCCTGAAAAAGCAACACCAAACCTCAGTGCCTGGTTCAAAGCATTTGGAGCTCCAAAGACACAACCGACCCCAAAACGCAAACAAGAAACTATTGAGACATCTCCGATGTACACTGCTTATGCTATGAATGATATGGTGCCTTATGATTATACTTTAAAAGATACAGATAAAAAAGAAAATTTGTCTACTATGGATATCAAGAAAACAACCATATCTGTGCCGTTAATTTCACCAGATAAGCCAGCTCCTAAACGACAGAGAAAGACAAGTACAGGTAGTAGTGTTTCTGAACAGTCTTCCCAAAATGATTCTTGGAATTCTCCACGGCCTAGTTTAGATGAACCATACTTATCACCACAATCTGGAAATTCTCCTCAACAATTAAAACCTTATCAAAATGTTTTAAACATTCCTCATGCTCCAATTAAGGTTGGTTTCTATCAAGACGCTTTTGCTAGGCCAAATTCAGATAAGAGTAGTAGCTGTAGTCCTAGAAATCCTTCTAGTGTAATGACAGCAAGTCCACATGGACAAAGTCCACATCAAACTTTTACCAGTCCTTGTGACTTGCCTAGTGATAGTCCCGGTAATTTTGTCGGAAGTCCTCATGATGCTAGTTGTAGCCCACATAATAATGTTGTTAATAGTCCTAAAGAGAGTCCTCATCATTTAATATTAAGTCCTCAAGATTCAAGTAATAGCCCTTATTATAGTCCCCATAATGTAGTCAATAGTCCAAAAGAAAATGTTGCAAATTTAGCAGATGATTATCAGCAAAATCAAAATGTTTACTCCCAGTACATTGGATCACAACAAAGTTCACCTCAAAATACGTATACTGAATTATATCCTCAACAACAACAACAACCAACAGCAGCTACAGTACCTGTTAAAACTCAAAATATATTCCCAGTAAAAAAACGCGTGTACAACGAATGTGAAAGACCTCAAGAGATGGCGTTCACTCCAACTGATGCTAGCAAAGAACAAGAAAGAGTATTTGTACCTACTCCAGGACAGATGCCTAATTCAAACTTCAATTCTGAACTAAACTATCAAATGAGCAGCTATCCACGTAACGATCAAGCACTTCCACCTTACCAGCAAAATATGGAACACCAACATCCACCAGTACCTGTAACCTATCAAAATAGTCTTAACTATTTACAAATGGCTCGTGACCGTTGTGAAAGTGAACAGAAAACTGTTCCAAATTCATTGTTCAACTACACAGCTCCTAGTCAGACTTTTGTATCAGCACCAACACCACACTATACTTCAACTCCTTTGAACTATTCAAATCCTCCTAAAGATGCTGTAGGTTATACTACCGCTCCATTAAATTATGCAAGTCGAACATCATCTGGACAATTTATACCTCCTCCTAATTTTAAGCAATCAAATTCCCAACCAAGACTTAATTATAACAATCCTTACGAACAATACCCAGATCAAATCAATTTACGGCCTTACAATTATCCTGTGCTACATAGCAAATCATATCCACACCCAATTCAAGATATGATGCCTGGTAAGTCACAAAATATTGATTTTACAACTGGTCGTCCATTACCAAATATTATACCAGAAAACATGGGTTATCGTTTCAATCAATCAACATATCCTGGACCATCTGTAGCAGAAATTATGAAAAATAAAATGGAAATCAGTCAACCTACTTATTCGAGTTCAACTATGGCTGAGATGATCAAAGCAAATCAACCGACTTATGTAAATACTGCTATGGCAGACATGATGAAAGCTAATCAACCAGCTTATTCTCCAAATTCATCTGTGGCTGAAATGACAAAATCAAAAATGGAAATGAATAGATCTTTAATGATGGAACAGTTACCTCCTAAGCCAGCCAAAAAAATAAGTAAAAAGAAGAAAGCTGCTGCTGCTGCTGCTGCTGCTGCTGCGGCAGCTGCACAATTGCCATCACCACAATCTACAATGGCAGTGACAACAGCACAAGCAGTAGTAGAACCCCCTCGTACTGTGGAACCACCACGTTCTGACCCTCCCTATCCACATCATTATCCACCCCTTGTGAAACCACCCATATCAAGTGGACCATTCAACTTCAATCCAGCTATCAAGGATGGCTACCAAGATTATCTAAATGAAATACGATCAACTGGCTATTTTGCAGACCAAGCTGCTGCAGCAGCAGCAGCAGCACAATCAGAAGAAAGAAATCCAGCATTTGCTTTTGCGAGGCCTCCATCGGGCTATGCTCCTCCACCATTAGAAGCATATAATCCACCCAATCCTTCAGATATTTATTCACAGTTCTTACAGAGACATCCAATGATGTTGCACCAAGGACTATCAGGCTTCCCACCACCAGGGTATTTAAATGTACATGATCCCATGAATAGGCATCCTCCTTGGATATAATTCAATCAGTTATCAATGTTACTTAGATTTGATATATCACTGTTAAAATGGTATGAGTGGTTCTTAACTTATATTTATTTATTAATTAATTTTAAATCAATTTGATTTATCATATTATCATAAGAAAAAAAAAAGAAGAGAATTTTTAATTATTAAATAAACAATTTTTTTAATTAATTTTTCTTTTTTATTATGTTTAGTTAGTTGATAAATTATTCAGACCTTTTTCAAACAAGTATTCAATATACATACTTTATATTTTCTTTTTTTTTTTTGTTTGTTATTTTTTTTTTTTCAAAATGAATTTTTATTTACTAATAACGATTTCACATCTCAGTGGTCTATAACCTTAAAAATAAAAATATTTTTTTTTATTTCCTCTTATAATTTGTATTATAGATTAAAAGTAAAAATGACGCCACTTATTAATTATAAAAACATTAATCTTGTTGTCCCAATAAATCCAAGTGCAATTATTGTGAAATGAAAATTTATTATTTTTTTTTTTTGTTACATTTGTAGTTTGATTTTAATAATTTAGACATGTTCGCACACCCATTATCATAATTGTTAACAATTGGTTTTATTATTATATAGTTTTATATATTTATTATTCTTAGTATTTTTGGTATTTTATTAGTTTTCCCTTTAGAACTTTTGGGCCATTTATTGCAAGCAATATTTTCTGTTAATTTGTCTATGGTATTTCAATATACTTTTAACTCCACATTTAATATGTGACGTTCATATTTATTTTCTTTCAATTCAATTGGAGGTTGTTTAAATGGTTTTATGCAACACCAAACATGATTATTATTTATTATCATTATGGATATTTCCTTGTTCAAATACATAAATTCTTTTTGCATACAAATAAAATAGTGAGTTATTTTTTTAATCATTGTTTTAAGTCAATTATGAATTTAGAGCAACATATAATGATTTTATGTATGCTCGAAATAGCTAGTACTCTTAAATATACACTCTTATTGCGTTGTCTAGAATAAAATTTAAACTGGCAAGTAGTAGTAAATTTTATGTATAAAAAAAAAATTGTATTATTATATTATTACTATTATTATTATTATTATTATTATTATTATTATTATGTACCTAAATATTTCTTATTATAAAATGTGACAAGATATTGTTCTTACATTGATCTCATCTGTCATTTTAATATTATATAATTATAAAATTGAAAAGTAATGAAAAGAAATACAAATGAAATTGTAAATATAAGCTAATTAGATAAAAAGTATTGTAAAATGAAACACTATTATTTATTTTTATTTGTTAAATTTTTTTTTTTTGTCATGTTATTTGTTAAGAAACAAAGCGACGAATTGTTTATCTTATTTACACGCATCTTATGTTGTCTTACAATTGTATATGTGTGTGTGTGTGTGTATATATATATACACACACACACACATAAATATTTGTATGTTACGTGGTGTTTAAATATGATACATGTGGATATTGTATATTTTTGTATATAATGTTGTTTATATATAATATTAAAATAAAAACTCTTATTTTCATTATATGATATCAAAAAATATAGATATACATTATGTAATTATATTTGTATATAAGATAAAGATATATTAAACTATTTAGTAGCACATGCTTTATATATATATTTAGTGATACATTTTTATTTCACAAAAGTTGAAGATTGTTTAGAGAAAATTTTTTTAAAAAAAAACTAACAAAAAAATAAATAATGTTTTGGAAAAAAAAAATGTGTTTATCTATTGTGAAATATTAAATCTATGCGACCATCTGGTATTCTGTTCATGCGATAGACCATGCCAATTTTTTTTGAATGTTCGGTTGGTATACTGATTTTAAAGTTTTTAATTAACTGAAAACAATATGTAATATTTTATTAATATTTTATTTGTTGGTTAGTATTTGTATTTTACTTCAGACAGGAGTATTGTCATTTCTTGCATAGCAACATGTCTTCCTGGACACATTCTAGGTCCATGTCCAAAAGGTAACGAAGCGTATGGATCAAACTTTTGGTTGTTAAAATTTCTTAGCCATCGGCTGGGCTGATACTCTAATGGATTTTTAAAGTATACTTCTTTTATCGAAGTTAAAGAATTAAACGCCATCACCAATGTCTAGCATATAAGATTAATTTAAACTACCATTGCATTATATTTAAAATTATATAAATTTGGATTTACATTTGCTGGAATTTCATAACCGCCAATGACACTGGTTTTTGGAAGATATCTGGCATTTGCACCTGCAGTAGGGGAGAGTCGAAGTGTTTCTTTTATGCAAGCTGTTAGATATGCTTTTGTACCTTGTTGAACATCCTTTTGACAAGCTTTTTGTATACTTTCATTTTGAGAAATATAATACAATGTCATTGCTAAAGTAGTAGCAGTCTATATTAAAAATTAAATAATATTATTTTTATGTTAAAATTGCAAACATTAATAAATACTAACAGCATCAATCCCTCCAAAAAATATTTCTAATACAAGTAAATTTTTATCAGTATTTGATAAATTTGTATTTGTATTAATAGCATTAACTAGAGCATTGTGTTCATGTGCCTGTTTCAGGTACTCATCAATAAAACTGAAAATTCTAATTAATATTAACTACTATTAAATGTGATATATTATAGTGGTAATTACTTCATACACGTGGAATGTGAGCTTTCTAGACTTTTATAGGCATTTGTTTTATAAAATTGCCATATAGGTGGTTCTTTGAGAGAGTTGTACAATCCATTCATGAATTTATTTCCGGCTTCCAAAATAGATTCAGACATGGTAGTATTTAAGCATTTTATTCTTAATCCAGGCGAGACTATAGAAATTGCTGGATGGAAGAAAAACATTCATTAAAAGTAATCATAATACAAATGTAATTTAAGCGTTGTTAATTATTACCGTCAATGGCAAATTTAGTCAAGTGATAAAACATATCTTTCAAACATTTGTCTTTATTTCGGTACAATTTTATATATTCAACGAAATCTAATGCTGCTTCTTTATGCTGAGGAATGTAACTTTCATAAATATTTTTTGTCATTAAAGGAGCAATAGCTTTTCTCAGTCTATACCATTCTACACCGTTCCTAAAATTAGATTATTAATTGTTAATCCAACAATAAATAATTATATTATGAAATATTTTTTAAAACAGATAAATTTATAATATATTTATTTGCAATTTAAAATTTTCCTACAGTATTTAGTCACAATATTTAATATTAGTCTAGCAGTAGGTATTTTTGTTGTGTCTGCCATTTAAAATGTTATTGTAATCAAATACTATCTTATGTACGTAACGAATATACTTAAAATATTTAGTAATAAATTGTTTACATTTTTGTAACTCACCTTGAACTAGTTGAACTTTAATTGTAAGCTTTAGTGTCAAGAGAATTGATACAAAAACTATAATAAAGGTATGCAATATTTTTTTTCATCATAAACTTTTAAAATTAATTAATTTTATTATTATGTTATAATCTTAAGTAGGCATTTAATATCATGTTTGCATATTTTTATAAGTTATAGCTTATAAGTCATATAGTTCTAAAAAATCAATTATTTATTTAATAAATGTTCTATTAATACCACTAAAGGAAAATAATCACAGAGCACAACTGAAGAAAAAAAATCAAATCAACTTCAATATTTTATAAGCAAAGGTTTCAGTAACAGTTGGTAATTTAAAAATGATATTAAATTATGTATTTAAATTTTTTATAATGATATATTATTCTTACTCAGATACTAATCCTCCAGTGCCAAATGGTTTTTTTCTGAGTAGGTTTAAAGCCGGAAATATGGGTCTTGCTGGGTGTTTGCCTTCATGGGCAAACATAGTTTTGGCATCTTCTACTCTTGTAACAACAATCATTGTCTTGCCACTTAAGATCAGTTTAAACACTGGGCCCAACATACATTCTATGTCACCCATAGCTTCTGTCAAGCGTAAAGAGTTGTAAGGACCTTTTTTATTTAAATAATATTTAATTAATATGGAAACTAATAAGCCAATTTAAGTAATACCTACCAATTTTTGGGATGAACAAATGTGTGTGGCCTAGTAGAGGCCATCTTTTGGGTTCAGGTATGCTACTAAACGGCTTGGATAGACGGCAAGTCATGACTAGTTATTGTAAGAGATAGACAGAGTACATAAAATCAGATTGGCTATATTATATATTCAGTGGTAATCAGTTTAGCGATTAATCTGTATTCTATGTTTCAATAATATGGTAATTCATTGGGAGTTTGTTTATGGTACATAATATAAAGTACTTACTAAACATTTATATGCAAATTACACCACCGTTTACCAAACACGAATATTACATTTTTATTAACATATTATACATTTTTTTTTTTTTTTTTATTCAGTAATAGTATTAGACAGGCGACAAAAACTGTATTCTTGTGTTTCGTTACATAACATAATAAATATGAATTAGAGTTTATTAATCGAATTCACTAATTTATCATTAAATATTCGCATAATGGCGTCATTGACAAAGCTGATTGTCTAATAAACTAATAAATAATATGTAAAGTACTAACAGTAATAACTATTATCTACTATGTAGTAATAGTATCTTTTATTTAATAAGTTTATCTGATATACTGATATGTGAATCACGATTCACGGTCGTTGGTAAATAATAACTATATTATAATTTACTCAACGTTAATACTAAATAGTAAATAATTAAATAGTAAATACTAAATAGTAATTAATATTAAATAAATAACCAGATAACCAACAGGTAGTTGTTATTATTTTGAAATGTTTTGCGCAACGTTGCCGAAAACGCCGGTCGTTTTGTTTCCATATCGTACAACATTGATACTGGCAACGTTGCACCGTCGCGTCCGGGTCCGTCATCCATTTTGTTTACATATTATCGTCGTTCCTACAATTGCAGCACCTTCGACAACTACAAGCTATAGCAAACGGGGTCCTCCACTCCGTCTAGCTGTTAACGATTCGGCCGCTGCCTTTGCGTTTTGCCGTTTTGTCTTAAGTAATTAGTTCTTCTTTTTGGATTTTACCTCTCGTAGTCCACGTTGACAACAATATCACATCAGGTTTACTTAATGTCATTTTATAACGTAGAATTACCGGTTTTTTAAATCTTCAAGTTTTCACGATTTCTTATTTTTATTTTTGTTGCCGTAGCAGAAGCACCAGCAAGTGTACGCCACCCACACTATTCGCCATTTCATTTTCGAATGTGAGTATTAATAATATTAATCATTGAAAACGTACGCAAGTACAACTAATATATACCAATAATTAATAACGATGTTAAAACTAATTTTTATTAAGAATCGTAGTCGGTAAATTGACCTCAGTTGTCGACAAAGGGTTGAATTGGTTAACGCCACCATCGCTACATTTTCCTTTGCAGAGTAGTCATTTTTTTTCGCCCTGATTTTATTTCATCGCTTTAGCAAGCGGAGGTTTTTTTTAAATACCTTATTAGTAATTATTAATTACTAATTAATATAATATCGATATATTTTTGTTGTGATCTTCCGCGTCTAATGGTTTAAGCCTCACTCAGTAAATAATCTGCCATTTTCCCTTATTTTTTTATTGAAAGCAATGTGGGATATCATATTGTTTCATAACATTTAATAATAGTTTTTTGACTTCTGCAATTAGTAATTTCATAAAATATTTTCTTAATGTTCGAGACTAATAATGTAGGTATTTTATTGCTCCTATTTTGTGGATCATGATTACCTAATTTATTAAATATGTCAGCAAACATTTCTTACTACATAGTTTTAATTTATGGACACAAACTCCTAACTAATTACATACATATATTTTTATAAATTAATGCAATACTTATTGGGATATATGATGGAAATAATTTATAGTACCAACTAATGTCAATGAACAGTAATATAATTAAAAATAAATATTTCTTAATGATATTTACATTCAGTTTTTTTATTAATTTACATTGATACTTTAATAATAATCATAATGATCAAAATCTTAGTATTTAAAATTTCTAATTATGTATCACTTTCATAACTGACTTAAAATCAATTTAAAGACTCAATTCTATTTAAGAATAAAAATGGTTTATTGATTTAATAAATACTTAATAAAAAGTTATTTCATTTGTAGATAAAATATTTTATAATATTTAATAATGAATTGTATTATATAAATAAGTTTGTTTCTAAATGTGGAATATTTTATTAGATAATGCATTTTTTACAATTTGAAGTAAGTAATCTTTTAATTAAAACAATAAACTAAAAATTTATCTAGGTATAAGTATCAATTTACTTTAAAATATTAAACATTTTATTATGTAAAATTATATTAAGATTGTGTTGTCTTCTTATTATACATTATAGAAATAGCATTTGTAAATATTTATTTAAAGTTAGTACTAAATGCTATTATTTGTGTATGGATAATGAGTTAATGACTCATCATTTTGACATTTTATTTATTTTTTTATTTTTAAATAATTATGTATTTATTATTATCCTTTCAGGACATTATAAGAAACTAATATTGCTTAAATAATACTTATGTAAAACGTTTCCAAGGTTAAAGTTTTGCTTTATTTCAGTTTTTGTTAGGCAATTGAAATTTACATTTTTTAACTGAAAATAAAAGAAAAGGAAATAAAGTGATTATTAGAAAATATTATTCTTTGAGTGTCTTAGCTTTTAATAATTTAGTATTGAAATTACTGTGTCATAATTTTTGTTTATTATTGGTGTTATTTCAGGGGTTTGCATTATAATTAACTGGTATCCATAATATCCCTTAAATATTTAAAAATCTATATAATTCTAATTTTTTAATTTACAAATTGATAATATGTTGTATTTTGTGGTTATAAATAATAATTATACTTTGTTTGTCTATTATATATTATTCATCGGTAATATTTTATGTATTGAAAATTGGGTTTATAGTTTTCAAGTTAAATTTTTCATATGGTTAATAAGAATTGAATTTAAGTGTTCATTTTTAACGAAATTTTTATAGTCAGTAGTATATATTAGGATTTTTTATGATTTCCATTCAAGGTTATCTATTATGATGTATTTTTTATTAATTATTATATTTATAGGTACTTGTTTTATATTTTTTCTATTTAGTATTTAATATTTATGAGTAAGTTAATTTTAAAATAACTTTTTTATTTTGTTTTTTAGTCAAGACTTAAAGCAACATGTCTCATCGTGACTGGGATCAATCGTGCAAAGTGTATATTGGTAATTTGGGCCAAAATGGTACTAAACATGAAATTGAAGCATCATTCACAAAATATGGTCCATTAAAAAATACTTGGATTGCTAGAAATCCACCTGGTTTTGCCTTTGTTGAATTTGAGGATCCTAGAGATGCTGAAGATGCAGTTAGAGGACTTGATGGAACGTTAGTAAACATAATATGAATAAAATTGTTTCAAATACTTAAAACAATAAATTCATTCTTTTTAGCCGAATTTGTGGAGTTCGTGTACGTGTAGAAATGTCTAGCAACAGACCTCGTGGTGGACGTGATGGTCGTGGTGGTGGTGGAGGAGGTGATCGCAGAGGTGGTGGTGGAGGAGGTGGTGGATACAACAGAGGTCCTCCACGCTACAATGATAGGTATAACGACAGGTAACATTTTATTAATTAGTTCTTCATTTAATGATTAACTTTGAATTCATGTTTTAATTTAATTTTTGTTTAAACATTGGGTTCAGTATACTTTTTAGATAATTTTTTAAACATTAATAAATTAACTAACTTTTTCTTCTAGCAAATAATTCAGTATATTTTGAATTTCTGTTGATCATTTATAATATATTTTTGCTGATTGGGTTTGCCTTTTTTATTTCATTGGTTATTTGCAAATATATTTTTTCATTTATTTCCTTGTCATACCTTGTTCTGGTAAGTTTTTTATTTTGAGGTCTACTTCTTAGGAAAATAATTTTTTTGTTTATTTGTTTTTTTTTTCTAATTGGGCTTTAATTGGATCTTTTTTATTTTTGGGATAATTTACAGGAAAAGGATCATTGGTTATCGCCCATACTAAAAAAATTTATCATCCCATCTTATAAAAAAAACCTCACACTGACAATATGACTTGACCAACAATTTTCGTACTTCGCTCCACCAATTCTACTGAATTGAAATACCGTAACGTGTTTTTAACATCATGCGGGCGGAAACAGCCTATTCTACACTATTCTACAATATTCTTCCAACGCCTCTACCCTACGATCAACTCTTCACAAGCACTCGTATGCTTTCTTGGCTGTTTTAACATCTCCACTCACACTCTCCATCTAAACAACATATGGTATTATTTATTCTTTCATTGAAAATTGAGAGTTGTAAGTTAAAAGGTATTTAGTTTTTTGTTTTGTTTTTTTTTTTTTTAAACAATTACCTATGACATGTTTTTTAATAGGAGCTGTAATAAGTAAGTTTAATTAATATTCCCCAGTTGGAAATGGATATGGCTTTAGTATCTATTTTTATTATGATATATAACTGTTTAAATTGTATTTTAGATCACGATCGCGATCTCCTAAACGTCGTGCACCACCATCACGGTCACGTTCAAGGAGCTACTCACCAAGACAGCGTCGTACGTCACATTCCTAAGTTAAACATTTTAAACAACGATGATACAGGTTCCATATAATATGAACTTTAGTATGCCCCAATTATTATTGTTCCCTATAAAACTTCAATATTTTCTGTTAGTATTTTACAGAAATCCTAATGATTTTTTTGTTTTTAATCATCTAATTTGTAATTTTTTTTTTACTCAAGATCACTTAAAATTTGATAGCTTTATAATAAGTTGACTTTTGTAAGTTATTTTTTTTTCATTGTACCTACCATGAATTTGGTTTACTTAAAATATACAATACACTTAGATAAACAATTACAGTTTTTAATTGTATAGATTTTCTTGTGTTGGTCCTCCTTTTATATAATCTCTCCCCTTAATGCAGAGGTTCCCAAACTTTCAGCCTCGGAGTCTTTTTTTAAGAAGTTTCTCGTGGAGCCCCAAGAAATATTTAACGTTCATTTGCATTTGCCTGTGTTCTATGAAGCATAATTAACACGAACTGTATACATACAGACAATAATGAACGGAGCCCTTGGGAAACCATTGCGGAGCCCCAAGGACTCCGCGGAGCACAGTTTGGGAACCGCTGCCTTAATGCTTCCTGACTATTTAAAATCTTGCTTATTTTTGAACAATGAATTCAATTAGTGGTTAAACTGTTAAAATGGTTAAATAGCTTGACTAACTTAGATTTTAAGAATTATAAACAAACATTTTGTATTTCAGGGTTAAAGTAATCAATTTATACTTGATATATCAATTATTATAATGATTGTGATAAATCTAAAAATCATCTATAAATAAAGTAGGTGGCTGCTAGTAAATTAATTTTATTTAAAATTTTATAAAAAAAAGTCAACATTAACTTAAATATTGTAAAACCAAATAGAACTATTCAAATTTAAAGTGAGTTATAAGTTGTAAGAAC